TTAGTGCGTGAGACACTTTTAGTGAGGAGAGAAAGAGAGAGAGAATAAGGAAATAAGGATTACATTATTCACTTGAATTGTATTGTACAAATAATGATACAAAGTATGACTATTTATATACAACCATAATTAGGCATGGGCTTTCTACTTTAGATTATATTTGATATTATATCTAAGAGGATTTATTTTTCCACCCTATACTTTTCTAGCGCACCACGCGAAATTCCAAAAATACCCCTAAAAAACCGGAAATATATTTTCAGTACACACCCACACACACATAACTCATTCTTTTTTTGAGATTTGTCCTATTTTACGACAAAATTGATTCCATAAATGCATTTTTGGAATTTCTCGAAAATGTATTTCCGATTCCTACACGTTCTTTGATGGTCAGCAAATCCACCAAGATCTCTTCTCAACTTTTGTTATTCTTCCAATGTAAGGGGTCATTTTTCCTTCTGCGTGTCACTCTACCATTCGTTCACTAAGATCCCCCTTATCTCATCACCCTTAATTCTCCCAAATCTCTCAAACCCAACGGAACAAACCTTTCCACTTTTTGTTGTTTCGTTTCTCTCATTCTCACTGGAACTCTTCACCCTCACCGCCATTATTCATTCATTTCTTTAACATTCTTGAAACAATTTCCAGAAATTCATACTAAAACTCTCAATTTCTAGAAACACATTTAAGATTTATTTAAATCTCCATCTGTTTCTTGATCATTCTTCATATGTTATTGTTTATTAGGAATCGAAAATACATTTTCGAGAAACTTTCGAAAACACACTTCCGATTTTTACGTAAGTTCAACTTAAAAAATGTGTGCACTGAAAATATATTTCCGTTTTCTAGGGATATTTTAAAAAATACATAAGGTATTTCTTTCCACTATAAGGTGGAAAAAGAAATTCGCATATCTAATATTTCAACATATCTAATTTAAATTATATTTGATATTATAATTAATATCTCAACATATTTAATTTGAATTATATTTAATATTATATTTAATATCTTAAATTATGTAATTTAAATTATATTTAGTATTATATCTAATATCTCAACCGAATATAAAAAAAATCCATTTGATAATTTCTTGAAAAAATTATGATTTTATCTATCTGAAAATTAAACAGGTGTTTCAATCCATCATATGCATTATTACTTTGAGCGTCAATTAAAAATCTAGAGAAAAAAACGATGTACTTATTAAATATCTAAGGAAACTCAATAATCTTTCAATTGTTGATACTTGCATTGGGAGGGCAATAGTACATACACCATGTAGAGTACATCCTTATCAGCATCATCATTTTTAACAGTAACCAAAATAGATAATCCCTCCCCCCTTCGAATTCTATTTATCCTCCATTAATCCTAGCATAGAAATGGGAAACACAATGATGTTTTTATTGTAGATTCTATCTTTTTTATAAGCAAAGTTATATTAAAGGGAATCTAAAGAATATTCTAATTAAGAATGGTAAAACGGGTTGTCTCATTGAACAAGTTTGTTTTGTCTGCATTTTGTTGTAGAGTGGACAAATTTTTTAAATTTGTGTCCTCTATGTCTGTCTCGCTCCATATTTTTTGCGCACACAAGTATTAATATAAATTTTACAATTTTTAGACTTTAAGAGTGTAATGACCAAGGATCCGCCCCGCCCCTATTTTTGCAAGGCGGGCCAAAGTTTTAGACTTGCGCCTTCAACAATATTTGCTCCGCACTGTATTTTTTTTCGGACTGACGTTGTCGAAAGTCCTAAGGAATAACAATCGCTAAACCTAAATTAAAAACACAGGGTTACAACTGCAAACTCTGTCAGATAAGCTTTAGAATCCACCAGAAAAATAAAAGAACTCTGATTTTATCATAATGAAAAGATAATCCTTTTGGTCATGCCAAAGGTCTTTAAATACAAAAAAAAAAAAAAACCTAATGGACTTTTAATCTAAAACAGAATCAAATCAAATCTTTTAATCTAAAACAGAATCAAATCAAATCTTTTAATCTAAAACAGAATCAAATCCAAAATAGAATCAAGTCCAAAATAGAATCAATCCAAAATAGAATCAAATCCTACATAGAACCAAATCCAAAATAGAATCAAATCCTATATAAAATAAAATAGTAAATTGTTGATTTTGGGCTTGAAAAGAACTTAAATGGCTTAAAAATCCATAGATCACTGCAAAGAAGTGTGTTGAACTCTTGCGTCGACTCCTTTTTCTGAAAAGGTATATTATGAGTCATTATGACATCAGATGCGAAACTTGCGCAAATCCTGCTGAATCATTCTGACGCGCAGCTTCTCCTTCGATACGCGCAGACATGTCTCCTACATCAGTCTCCTTCACTTCTGAAGAACTCGATCCCGAGTTTTTTTCTTGATAAAGAGCTTCATCTTGTTGCAGCTTATTGTAAATACCAACTGGAAACATCTCTTCATGCAGAAACGCCTCACATATTCTCCCACATTGAAAACTTTAACTTTCATGTGTTTATCTCGCATATGAGGCAAATCGTTTGGTAGCTCATATACGGCCAACTCCTTGAAATCCTTTAGGACCCCTAGCAATTCTTCTTGAATTGTTGTTTTCTTCTTTAAACATTCATCACCCCTTTAGTCATTATTGAACATAAAAATTTAGTTTCTTTAATAGCCTCATCATACTCATTTTCACTTTGTGTCATCACCAAAAAATTAAACTTCTTTCCTCCTAGATTCTTATCAAAATTCATAATAGGAGTCATAGCAATTTATGTGTGTCCCATGTAAACATCCTCACGATATCCTGTCCTCGATATGTGATATCATTATCAAATTGCTAAGGCCTGTCAAGTAAAATATGACAAACAGTCATATCAAGATTTTCATCTTTAATATGATTGATTTGCAAATGTTTCACCTTTTTATCCATGTCACGATTTCCCCTTTTGCTTACAGACATATTAGAAGCTAGTAGCTTTGAATTTTCACTTAAAAGACATTGCTCCTCAAATTTTAAAACAACCGCAATTGTAAAAGAATCTTCACTCACTTCAGTAGAAGAATCAAATTGAGTAGAAATAACATTATCATCGAGCTGATTTTTTAAATTGATTGTGTGACTCTCATCCCATAAACGTCCATGTGCATCTCATTCATATATACCAAATTCATCATCACCATAATTTACTTCGGTATTCTTTGTTTCCCCTTTGACAATTTTGAATTTTGCCTCTTTAACTGAAATTGTCTCCAACTTCTTTAGTTTAGGAATGTTACTCTCAGGTTTGCAAGATATAGAGCTTTTATGCAAAGTATGCAAACTAGAAGCTTTTACCTGAGAAAAGAAATCAATGAAAAGAGATGGCTTCTTTAGGCTTGATGATTTTATTTACCATGTTTCGATGCATTTTTTGATACATTCTGGATGGTGGACGTAGAATGAAAATTGGATTATTCGAAGATTTTCCACCCATACCTTGTACTCTTCTCCTGTCTCTTTGTTGATTCGAGTTGTTTATGGCGTTTTTTCACCTGATTTGTTAAATTTGTCATCTGTTCAGTCAAAGCAGTTAAGACCGCGGTAAAAGCCAAAGTAATTCCCTCGAGATATGCTCTGGTCGCTGGTTGATCCGGCATGATTGTCAAGCTAAGACAAGTACAGGAGAAACTTACTATCATGCCAACTGACCCAGTCGGAAACCCTAGGAAATAGTAAGCGCTAAACCTAGAATAAAAATATTGGGTTGCAAGCGCAAAACTTGTCAGCTAAGTTCTGGAATCCACCAGAAAGAGAAAAAAACTCTTAATTTTATTATGATGAAAAGGTAATCCTTATGGTCACGCCAAAGGTCTTTAAATACAAAAAACAAAGAAATTCTAATGGGTTAAAGATATCCTAATGGGTTTTTGATCCAAAACATAAATAAAACTAAAAATTACTTAAATATTCAAATAGAAAATTGCTTAAATATTAAAATACTTTATGACGCATGATTTTTTCTTTCGATACACGCAACCAGCCTTCCTATATCACAGACTTTTGCATGTCGGGTCTAAACGGGGCAAACATTGCCCATTTACCACCCTTAATTCCAACCCATCAAATACAACAAAGCAATTCAAATCCAACATTATATAGAAGAAATTAGAGGATTTAACTTGTCACCCCCTATATACAATTCAAATCCAACATTATATAGTAGAAATTAGATGATTTAACTTGTCACCCCCTATGTGCAATTCAAATCCAACATTATATAGTAGAAATTAGAGGATTTAACTTGCCACCCCTTATGTTGAACCTGACACCCCCTCATTTTTGCTTAATTCCCAAATTGTCCATGAACAAATTTAGGAGTGCAAGAACGAAATTTCCAGTAGTTCATTTATAAATTGCGATATGATTTTTTTCAAAAAATATATAAAAGAAAATTGTTTAACACTACCAAAAATTTCTAAAAATACTGTAATTTACCAGAAATTAACTACCGGATTTTTCAAAAAAACCAATATTTTCTTGATATTTCCGATAAATGCAAAAATAAATTTTATAAAAGCATAAGAGTAATAGCACCCATCATTAGAAGAGGGTCCGGGTTAATTTTTGGGAATCCTCTAGAAATCAACTACTCACTTCCTATGAAGGGTTGTAGAGCTACTACTGGATCATGTTCTGTAAATTTGGAATTAAACACAGACGATTTATATCCATATAATCCACTAAATGGAACTACATAAAAAACCAATATAGCAGAAAATGCAAAATGAGATATCAGACAACTTAGTTGGTTGGCTTTATCAGACAACCAGAGCACCGGTACAGAAAAAATTCCATCAAATTCGGCGTCCAATCGAAGCAAAGGTAAACTGAACCATTCAGATAAATGTGTTACAATGTAATGATAATAAGCAATATATAAATACACTTCACTTAATTGTAGTATGAAATTTTACTCATATAGTAGATTCAGGCTTGGAATTTTCAGTTCTACACTATTTGCTTTAGAGTTTCTTCAGTGTGGCTTTCAAGTGTGGCTGAAGGTTAACTGAATGAGTAGACATCTCAACCTCATAAGAAAGATTCCCTTCAACTAGTCGAAAACATCTTTGAATCCCCGTAACCTGTATCGAATGCATACATCACTTTAAGTCTAAATAACAAAGAAACAGAATCAATGATTAATTGATCCATTTCAACCACTACTTTCTTCTTTTAGCATTGGTATTGTTGTATTTGTGAAAGACTATCATGTTAAAATCACCTTGGAAGCATTCCCCACAAGGTCACTTTGAAGCTGTATCACTTTCTCTTCAATGTTATATGTTCCTTTCTGGAATTTGATAGCAAAAAAAACCAGTGGCGCAAGTTTCAGGAGCAAAAAAAACAGCTGAAGGAAATTACAAAATAAAACAAGTAAAAACATTCATTTGGGCCTATAAACAATCAAGCAGGATTTTGATGTCAAAACTCAACTAATCATCAATAATAATAGGAAAATATGAAACCAACCCAAATTTTTGGTTGATGAAAAAAGTAACTCGTGACACCCTATTTATGTATGATTAATCGTGATAAATTTTAAACCCTGTGCATTAACCTGTCTTGCACGCCCTCAAAAACGGCCCTGTCTTCATTTTGTTCCTTTTACTTGTCAAACTTTGTAACAAACACAAATTCTATTTGCTATAAACAAGCACCTATCACAAAAGAGTCCATCCTTTCCTTCATTTAGAAAATAACCTTTGCAATTTTGCAGTTGTGTGAGAATAATTTGTAGGATACCAAACAGAATATAGATACAAAAACAAATATGAATCAAAATAGTCGAAAAAAGTACCTGAACTTCAACAAGACCATTGCTTTGAGCAATGACAACTTCAATGGTTCCATTAGGTTTAGGACGCCAGTATCCACTTTCAGAATGCATAGGCTCTCCAGAATTGAGTTTCCATGTCTTCTGAGTGTACCCTATCACAGGCTACACCCATTTCACACAATCGATACATAAACACAGAAAAAGAAGTTAAGGATCAAAAAATAAAACTTTAAGAGACCCAGATGAGATTTATAAAGAAAGAAAAAAGAGAGAGGAAAACCTTGTTAGGTGGATGATAGAAGTGAAGTTCTTCACCGTAGGAAAATGAATTGATGGTGGGGTAGCCTCCTTCTCCTTGTCCTCTCCATGTTCCAAGAAGATAGGAAAGTGGTGCCACTGCTGGGTGGTATACCGGCGACGAAGATTCCGGTGCCGGAGAGTCAATGTTTGTATCCATTTTTTATTTTATTTTTATCTCTGTAAAATGTGTATGAGATGGACTTGGATCCTCCGCTGCTCCAAAGTGATATGAGAGTGTGTGTATCCTCCTCAAATATTATATATAAATTTAATTATTATGCACGTTCGTCGGAGACGATACTATTTATTCATTTAAAATTTTAAAGTGATATATGAGTGAATTTTTTCACTTATAAATATTTAAATTACCATATTCGTATTCAATATAAAATTATTTTTAACTAAAATTACATACGTTAGCGTAGAATTACATCTATTAAGGTAGTATTGATTTCAATTGATGTTATTTTTAACTTAGCAATGCACAAAAGAATGTTAAAATTGTTTTCTAAAATGATTATTTAGATGAAGATATTTATATGCACCGACTTGAAGGGTTTTAGATTTATGGGTAAGAAAACTAAGTCTCTAAATTAGATAAGTCTATCTATAATTTAAAATAAGTTTTTAAACAATGACAAGAAAAGTTTGATAATTTTATAATATTGAATGAGTTTAAAGTAAATGAAAGTGACAAATGTGTTTATTACAAATCTGAAAATAGCATTTTCACTATCATATGTCTTTATATAGACGATTTATCATATTTGGATCAAACATTCAGAGTATGAATTTGTGAAATCAATATTGTGTGACAACTTTGATATGAAAGACCTTGAAGAAGTCAATGTGATTCTTAGAATCAAGATCGTTAGATATGAAAAGAGAATATATTTGGATCAATCTCACTATATGGAGAACATCTTAAAGAAGTATGATTACTTCGATTGTAAACTTGGTTGCACACCTTATGATTCAAGTATAAAACTATTTAAGAATATTGGTGATAGTGTTAGATAAACTGAGTATGTGAGTATAATTGATAGTCTTAAGTATGTCACTGATTGTACTAGACCCGACATTGTATATGTCGTGAGATTGTTCTACAAGTTTACTAGTAGACCGAGTAATGAGCATTGACATGTTATTGAAAGAGTTGTGCAATACCTTATAAGGGCCATGAATATTGATTTACATCATCAAAGATTTTTTGTTGTACTTGAAGGATAGAGTGATGCAGATTGGAAGACATTATCAAATGATTCTAAAGCAACTAGTATGCCACATATGATATATTTTAGAAATTAAAGAAACTGGCTATATTAAAAATAATAAACGTTATTTCATCACTTTTATTGACAATTGCTATGATTATACTGTTGCACACCTAATGAAGAATAAAAAGGATGCACTTAACATGTTTAAGACTTTTGTGAATGAAATTGAAAAACAATTAAGTAAGAAAATTTAGAGATTTCGTAGTGATAGAGGAACTGAGTATGATACTAGTGTATTTAACAAATTTTATAAACAACTTAGAATTGTGCATGAAACTATTGCACCATATTCTCCTAAGATGAACAATAAAGAGGAAAGAAATAATATAATCATTACTGAATAAATCATTGATATTATGTTAAATTATGATGATGCATCTCACTAGCGTGCCGGGTAGGGGAACTTTATTGACTATTTGTCATGTCTTGAATAGATTTCCCAAATCTAAAAATACGATCTCTCCTTATGGATAACGAAGAAATGATAACCAAATTTGTGTTACTTTAGAATTAGGGGTTGCTTTGCTTATGTTAGGATTTCAGATTAAAGCGAGTTGAATTCATTAGTAAAGCCTGTGAATTTGTATTCAATGGGTATGCAATAAACAGTAAGGTGTATAGGTTTTATGACCTAAACGCTAAAGTGAACATGGAATCAAATGATGTTTACTTCTATGAAAATAACTTTCCTTGCAAATTGAGAAATAACAGTGGGCAGTGGATCGAATCACATTTGTGTGATAAGAATACTGAAAACAACGATGAAGGAGAAGCAAAACTTCAAAGAAGTAAAAGAATAAGAGTCGATAAAGAGTATGTGTAACACCTCACATTTAGTAATTTATTTTATTTTAATTTAATTATAATTTTGTGTACTTATTTAATTATTATGTGTGGATGATTAAATAAATGTGGGTGAGAGGAATGGTGTGTGACCTTATGCTAGGGTGTGGAGAGTAGTTAGAGAAAGAGAGAATAATTAGAATAATTTTATTAGTTAAATTAATGATATAATTATATTATTTAAATAAAATAAAAGAAATAAGGATGTGTGGAGAAATTAAGGGCATGCTAGTAATTACGAGAATAGTGGGGGTAAAATACTGATAACTTAAATGACGGAACTAGGTTTTGTTTATAAGAGAAAAACGATGGTGGAGAGTTGAGAATACGTAACATTGAGGTTTTGGGAGAAAAGAGGAAACAAGAGAAAAAGAGGAAAAGGCAAGGTTTGTTAGAGGTAGGAGAAGAAAAATTCAAGAGAGGATTTGCTTGTCTTGCTAGGAATTGAGGTAAGAGTGGGAATTTGGTTCAATAATAGGGGTATGATGAAGGTGTAAGAACAAGATTTTGTTCTACATATAATCTCTGAGTTTTGATGATAATAATACATATATTTTATGTGTAAAAAATTTGGTATCTAATAGTTTTTTAAGTGTGCAGATAAAACATTCAAATTGAGTCAAGATTATTGTCTGAAGAATCATCATAAATGTGTTTAGCCCGCATCAGAAAGACTATCGTTTAAAGTTCTGAAGAAACATCAGCAGTACTAAGTCTTCTATTTTTTATGGAGAAAAATTTGACTATTGGAAAGATAGACTAGAAAGTTTCTTTCTAGGCTATGATGTTAATCTTTGGGATCTTGTTGTATTTGGTTATGAAGAACCTATTTCTGCGATTGGTATTCCTATTCCTAGAAATAGAATGAATGATGGTCAGAAGTGTGTACTCAAGAATCATCATAAAGCAAGAACCATTCTTCTCAATTAAATATCTCACAATGAATATGTGAAGATCACTACTAGAGAAACCACGAAAAATATTTTTGATTCGTTTAATATGACACATGAAGGTAACACTCAAGTTAAGGAGATTAAGACTCTGGCCTTAATTTAGAAATATGAAGTCTTCAAGATGGAAGAAGATGAAACCGTTGGAACTATGTTTTCAAGGTCCCAGACTTTAGTCGCAGGACTTAAAGTTTTAGATAAAGGATATTCTACTGTTGATCATGTTAAAAAGATCATGAGAAGCCTTCCTAAGAAATGGAGACCTATGGTTACATCTTTGAAGTTGTCTAAGGATCTAAACACTCTGTCTATTGAAGAGTTGGTTAGCTCCCTTAGAAGTTGTGAAATAGAACTAGAGGAAGATGGTCCTCCGAAAAGAAGCAATTTTATTTCTCTAAGGTCAAATTCAGAAAGGACCAAGTCAGAAAAGTGCAGAATGTTCCAAGCTAAAGAAGTAGAAGATTCTGAAGATGAACCTTCTGATGACGAAGAGGAATTATCCCTTCTTTCCAGAAGAGTCAAACAACTCTAGAAGAAAAGGAAAATCAACTTCAGAAGACTCAGAAGTAGAGAAGATAATTCATAATCTTCTACAAGAGGAAGAGCAAGCAAAGAAGTTACTTGCTACGAGTGCAAAGAGCCTAGACACTAAAGAAATGAATATCCAAAGTTGCAGAAAGAAAGCACCAGAAAAGAAAGCTTCAAGAAGAATGCCTTTAATGGCAAGAAGAAAGGTCTTATGGCAACATGGTATGAATCAGACTCTGAAGGATTAGATTCTAACGAAGAGCATGCTAATGTAGCATTCATGGCTACTACATCATATGGAAACACATCAGAAACTGAGTCTGAGTCAGAAGAGGTATTTTTTGAACTCTCTCGTGATGAACTAGAATTATCTTTATCTGAATCTCTGAGTAGGTATTAAAAACTTCTACTAAAATTCAAGAACCCTCAAAAAGTTCATGAATATGAAGTTGAATAATATGGTAAGCTTGAGAAAGAAGTTTCTAAACAAAAAGGAGACATCTTTATTTTAGAAAAAGAAAATTTCTTTCTGAATAAAAAATGTTTAAAACTTGAAGAAACTCTTCCTAGAGCATCTCCATCATCTGAAAGCGTCTTATACAAATATGATAAGGCATTTCAGAAATTCTTGAACAAAAACATAGATAGAAGAAAAATGGCTTCCATGATCTATGGTGTTAGTCATTATGGGAAAAGAGGAATTGGTTATGATTATGATGTAGATATTAAAGAAAATAAACCATTCACTCTGTTTTCATATTTATATATTTCAGTACAGACACAAATAGTTAATGTTGCACAGAAACCCAAAGTTATTAAAAACTCTGGGAAAACTAACTCTAAAGGACCCAAAAGTTAATGGGTACCATAAGACAAGATAGTATATGTTGTAGATATCTCATGCAAAGCTGAATCACCAGACATGGTACCTGAACTCTGATTGCTTGCAAGACATAATGGGAAGAAAGCATATGTTCCAAATCCTGGAATCTAATGATGCTAAGAACTTTAGTTTTCGGAGAAAATATTTCTTAGAAAGAAGGACCTGGAATAGTTGGTTCTGGGAAAAGTCTAAAGGATATGAGAATGAGCATCTCAACAGAAAGAATGATTTATTAGAAAAGGTTAAGTCTCATCTGAAGAAGTGTCTATAAGATTTAAAGGCAAACATTGTCAGAACAAGATTCACTTTCATGATATCTGAGGGAAAGCTTATAGGATTAGTGTCTTTATTAGAACCAACTTCCTATCAAGAAACTCTTCCTTATGTCAAATATATTATGTCTATACAAGAAAAGTTGAAACAACTATCCAGAAATGATGTTCAAATGCCCATGTTCTGAGGAACTTACGTCATCTAAATCTAATGGTTCGTCAAAAATGAAGTAAGTAATGTAATGTCTTAAAACATTATTACACAATAGTTTAGAGCTTCTTATCCTCTTATATTATCTGTTTTTATTATTGAAATTTGTCTTGATACTTCTACAAGTTAGAAGGTGTCTTGATCAGGATCTACTGTGTCAGAAAACCTTTGGTATTTGTGACTCTAATTATAT